TGACAATCAGCACTGTTGCTGGAAGAATAGGCAAGACAAAACCTGAATGATTAAGCTTAAGCATCCCGTTTGAAACCCGATGACACCCCCTGCCTTCTTTTTTGTCTTCCTTCCACTCTAATGGAATCTACCCGATGCACCCGGAGCCTCTGCTATTGCCATCAGTTTGCGCTTGACTTGAGCCGTTCCGAACATGGTTGAGAGAAGCCCTTTCTTGAGGCTACTAACCTGCCCAAAGAATGTGACTGCAGTGACACAAAACAACGAGCAGCAGAAGATGTAACAGAATTACATTAAAGCCATGGACTTTTTTTATTATTTTTTATTTTTTTAGCAATTAAGTTGTTTCTCCCCCATCTAACAGAAATAGATGTTGCTAAACATAGCTGCCCAGGAGTGGGTCTGCCTGAAAATAACTATTTTCTCAGGCAACAGAGATGGCTCTTTCTGAAAGGAATCTGAATTAATGTAGAATTGTGCCTCTAGCCAGCTTCTAGAGGGGAGGAAAAGGAGACAAACCTCCTCGTGTATAGCGCGTCCTACAAAGGTCCATCTTTGCAAGATGGGACACTCCTTAGTTTCCAGACTCTTGTATAACACTCTAGGGATTATGGATTCCAGGCTGCCTTGGAAGATCTCTTAGATTGTCAGGAAACATTTCTTCTGCCTCTTGACCCACAAAGAACTCAGATTCTCATGTATAATAGGTGACATTTCATGGCCAAAGAGAGAGATTTGCAGTTAAGCCAGTACATTTCTGCTTTTTTGGAGGACCTGTAACACCATATCTCAACTTGCTTGCAAAAAGACAACCAGGCTAGAGACACAGAGGATTCTGGGAACAGGGGAAGGCGCTAGAGCACATCCAAGTCATGGGGAGAGGCTGGCCAGCCCTGATGGAAGTCATTGTTTTTGCTGTTTTTCTTTCAGTCACTTCTGACCCTTTACGACTTGATGGAAAATGGTTTGACAGGACTGCTGGTCTCAGTAGCTGCTTCTTTGAGTTCTTGTAGGCTCCTGCGTATATCCCCAGGAGAAATATCTCCCACCTCATCTTCTGTCCACGTCTTACTCAAGTGCCTTCCATTTTTCTAAGCATCAGGGTCCTCTCCAAGGATGGTTGCCTTCACATTATGTCCAAAATATATAAGCTTTAACTTCATTATGAATGTTCCCAGTAAACTATCTAGTTCTACTTCATCTAGTATTGAATTATTTGTTTTTCTTGCAGTCCTTAAAAATGCCCTACAGTTCAAAGGCCTCAAGGGTTTTTTTGTTCAGCCTTTTTGATGGTCCAGCTTTCACAGTCATAGGCTACAACTGGGAAGATTATGACTGCAATCATACATATGGAACCCTCTTTGTGGAACGTACCAGTTGCCAATCTAAGGTGCTGCATATTTGCGGGGAGGGGGGCGGTTCTGATAACTTCTTCCCAGGTAAAATCAGCCATGTGAGAACAGAACATGAGTATCTACCGTAAAGGACCCAGCTGGATCTTAGTCTGCGAAACATACATGAAATTCCTCAATAATGTTAAATTAAAGTCCTATTATTGAGCAGACTCTGACTCTCTAGATGTTGAACTACAGTTCCCAGCATCCCTAGCTGTCAGCTGTGCTGTTGGGAATCATAGTTCAGTAAAACTCAGAAGTGTAGGTTCTTCACCCTTGCACTTGACAGACTCTGATAAGCCTTTTTTTTTTTTAAGGTATAGATGGCTGATTATTCATCCAATAGGACAATTATTTCTGAATAGAAGTTGCTCTGCTAAACAAGACTGACACCTTCTGGGACTTTTCTGAAATGGCTGCTTGTGAAATTACATGGTGGCAATTCATTTTCCATTTAAAAGCAGCAAAGCCTCCTTTGCTGAGACCAGTTGGATGGACACTTCCATGTAATTTCCACGGCCACATGGAAAGAAAAGAAGAGGATGACCAGCAGCAAGGTGGTTGAACTCAACTACAGCGGCATGGATACACTGTTGAAGGACCAGATTATGGACAAGTTATCCTGGAGAGAATTGATCTAGTGGTCGCTAAGAGTCAACACCAACTTCATGGCCCATAATTAATCAATCAATGAGAAGGAAAGAGAAGAAGAGGACAATCAGCAGTGAGGTAGATAGATGGACTCAGTTACAGTGGTGGTGGGTGCCCTGTTGGAAGACCTGAAGGACCAAGTTGGGGACATCAAGTGTCCTGGGAAAAATTTGTGTCATTAAGAATCGACATCAACTTGATGGCATGTAATCAATCAAAACATGGAAATAGCTGCCCGCTGCCTTGGAGAACATCTTCCCAACAGCCTTGGGATTCCCTCAAGGTCTTCTAGCCAACTTCCAGGCAGAGCCTGACCCCGCTTCTCTTACAGCCCGGATGAGCTGATGATCCAGGTTCCGCCACGTGCTGACACCATTCTCTACACCCAAGTGGAAAGAATTAGGGCCCCCTTATCTGGGCTGTAGAACTGGAGGCTGTTGCTAGAGGGAGGCAAAATTAGGCTTTTTGGTATCTCTCTGGTGCCACCCAGGGGCCAACGGATTGTTGCAGCCTGGATCTGGGAGCCTTAATACTGAACCCCCCAACCCTGACCCCCAAAGCATCATAAAAATAGATGTCCCTGGGGAAAAGTTTTCTTTTAAACATTGACCATAAAATAAAATGTTGTTGTCAGCACGCAAAAACAAACGCCCTTCGGGGTCCTCCATCGTTTTTAAAAGTGGGAGGGGGTCCTGGGAGCAAAAGGTTTGAGGGACGCGGGGGCAGAGCGGATCTGCCTTTTCAGAAGGGGGGCTTCCTGGCGGGCGAAGAGAATGAAGATGCTACTAAACTAAATTATTACATTATTTAAATTTAAGATGCTATTAAATTCCGGCTATTAAAAAAGCGAACGGGACCCTCCCCGCCTGCTGTCTCCTGCTCCGGACAGCCCCGCCCCTCGCCTAGCCCCCCCCAGGAGGCCCCTGCGGAGAGGACGACCTTCTGCCCGGCGACCCTCCCGCGCCTGCGCGCTCTACCTCTTCCCAGCAACCTTTGCGGACGGAACTCCAGGACGTTCCTTAGCAGCCGCAAGATGGCGGGTCGACCGGGTGAGTCTTTCTCGGGGGCGGGAGAGGCCAAGGTGACCCCCGGCTTTCTCGTGGCCTAAGGCTCGCTTCTTTCCTCCCAGATAAACCGGGTGAGGCAGCCCGGACGCGTTTTGCGGACGTTTGGGACTCTAGCACCCATGAGCCTCGCTGGCTGGGGCTCATGGACTCTGGAGTCCACCGGGCGGGGGCTGAGGGCACCAATTCGCCTTGTCTCTCG